ACCACTCTCCCCACCCCAGCCATAAATTACTTTAAAAAAGAAAACTGTCCAACACATCCCAGTCAGGGAATATATCAAAGAAATACAATCACAACCTAAAAGAGATACCCCATTACCCATGTTTATTGGAGCATCATTTACAAAAGCCAATACACAAAAAACAACCAAGATGATTAACATTATATCAATATTTCAATAATATTTTATACATAAAGTCTTTAGAGTGGAATATGTATTGTAGAGCCATACAAGAAAAATGTAGCCTTTGTACCAACATACATGAACTGTGATGACATTCTGCTAAATGAAATAAAGCAGAGGTAGGCAAAAATGTATAATCATTCATATATGTGGGTAATCAAACATAAGAAGACTAGGGCTTCTGGTCAAGATTCCAGAGAAGGTGAACACTACACTCAAATGCTCCATGATCACATCAGAATTACAACTAAACTATAGAACAACCATCATTCAGAAACCACCTGAAATCTAGCTGAACAGAAGTCCCAGAAATAAGCATATAAAAGGCCACATGGAAATAGGTAGAAGAAACAAAGATATAAAAATTGTTGCTGCCACTAACACCCAGCCATGGAATGTTTAAAAAACTGGAAAAATAATTTGGCTGCAGAAGTTCCTACTGAAAAGTGAAGGGTCCCAGCCGGACACCAGAACCTCCTGCCCCACATGCCACTGGTGGGAAGACAAGTCCCCATGGCCTCTGGCTATAGAAACCAGCCAGGGTTTGGTGGAGGGACACCCTAGGTAACTGGAGTCTCATGTGTTTTTCTTAAAGGCCATGAGCAGGGACTTTTTTTTTAATATTAAATTTTATTTAGTTACTTTTCAAGTACATTTTTTTAATCTATTTCTCCCATCCCACCCCACCACCCCCCACCCGGTCTCCCCCCTCCCTCCCATTCCCCCCGCCCCAGTCCTCATCTCTGTGTCTTTCATACTTGTTCCTCAAAATCCCTCCCCCTTTTTCCCCTTAAGTTCCCTTCCCTCTCCCCTCTGGTCGCTGCCCACTTGTTCTCTATTTCAGTGTCTTTGTTTTTATTCTGTTTGCTTGTTTGTTTTATTCTTTAGCTTCCTGTCAAAGGTGAGATCATATGGTATTTGTCCTTCAATGCCTGGCCTATTTCACTCAGCATAATGCTTTCCAGTTCCATCCATGTTGTTGCAAAAGGTAATAGCTCCTTCTTTCTCTCTGCTGCATAGAATTCCATTGTGTATATGTACCACAATTTTTTGATCCATTCGTTTACCGATGGGCACCTAGGTAGCTTCCAACTCTTGGCTATTGTAAATTGTGCTGCTATGAACATTGTGGTGCATAGGTTCTTTGAAATTGATGTTTTAGGATTCTTGGGGTATAATCCTATCAGTGGAATTGCTGGGTCAAAAGGCACGTCGATTTTTATTTTTCTGAGAAAATCCCATACTGTTTTCCATAATGGTTGTACCAGTCTGAGATCCCACCAACAGTGAACTAAGGACCCCTTTTCCCCACACCCTCTTCAACATTTGTTGTTTGTGGCTTTGTCTATTATAGCCATTCTGACTGGTGTAAAGTGGTATCTCCTTGTGGTTTTAATTTGCATCTCTCTGATAGCTAATGATATTGAGCATCTCTTCATGTGTCTCTGGATATTCTGTATGTCCTCTTTAGAAAAGTGTCTGTTCAAGTCCTTTTCCCATTTTTTAATTGGGTTAGATGTCTTCTTAGAGTGGAGTTGTGTAAGTTCTTTGTATACTTTGGAGATTAAACCTTTGTCTGAGGTATCATTGGAAAATATGTTTTCCCATACAGTTGGCTGTCTTTTTAATTTAATACTGTTTTCTTTAGCCATGCAGAAGCTTTTTATTTTGATGAGATCCCATTTGTTTATTCTTTCCTTTATATTCCTTGCTCTAGGGGACATATCCATAAAAATGTTGCTGCGTGGAATATCTGAGATTTTCTTGCCAATGTTCTCCTCTAGGACTTTAATGGTGTCGTGACTTATATTTAAGTCTTTTATCCACCTTGAACTTACTTTGGTATATGGTGTAAGTTGGTGCTCAAGTTTCATTTTTTTGCACGTAGCTGTCCAGTTCTCCCAACACCATTTGCTGAAGAGGCTATCTTTACTCGAGTTTATGTTACTGCCCCCTTTGTCGAATATTAATTGACTGTAGAGGGTTAGGTTGACTTATAAGGACTCAGTCACCCTGACCTTTGCCATTGTGGCAACAATTGGAAATGCAGAGGGGAAATGGTCTGGCATCATGGTGAGAGCTGGAAGGGCAACTTTCTCCCAGACAGATGTGCTGTAAGAGGTAATTGTTTCTTTTACAAAAGAACACCCACTGGTACCATGAGACTCAGGGAGGGCACCATACCTGAGCCTTCTACTACTTGGCTACAGCTCTTAGCTCTGCTCTGCTGACTCTGATATCTTGCCCCACCAAATCTGCAGTCCTGCTCAAACTGTTTCTGGTGGTTTTCCCATAACGTCTGGCCTGTCTTGGATCATGCTTTGGACCTTTCCAATATCTAACAAACAGGCCACATCTATCTTCTATATATACTTTAACACTTGCTGTGTAGCCCTAAGCCTCATGCCATCAGCAGCAGACCATTTTGCAAAACTTGGCTTCTTCTGGGCACCTCTAAGACAATCTAAAGCACTACCTCCCTGAAGATCTTTTTGAATCTCATAGCAAGTCACCTAGAAATGCAGAAGTGACAGAACAGATGGATGGCCCAAAATTAAGACATCTGGCAGTTTCACTCACAACATAGCACCACCCGACCACCTCCACAAGTCACAAACTAAAGAAGCAGCCTCAGTGGTAATCAGAGTCACACTGAAGTAGGTCCAGCTTTGAGGGAACAATCCCTGAACAGGTGATGTGCTACAGTACTTGGGGTTGGAGGTAGGTTTTTGTTGCCAGTCCTCCTAGTTGACTGGCCCAGGTGTAAATCCATCCCATTAAGGTGCAAAAGAAATCAAGGCTAAACTATGGTGGGAGTGTGTACACTTTCCATTTTCCAAAATGGAAAGGAGGGCACAGTGGAGCCCACAGCTTGGGTGAACAGGGAGACTGTGCCAGTGGATTCTATAGGGCACTCACTACATGAGTCCACTCTCCAAAGGGCAAGCAACATGGCAGCTCTACACAGTAAATGGAAGCAAACACAGGGAGGTGGCCAATATGAAGATTAAGAACCTTGTCCTAATTGAAAGAATAGGACTCAGAGACATTAAAATTAAGAACAATATGACAGTAACCAGAGGGGAGGTGGGAAGGGATAATGGGGGGTGGGGGGAGGAAGGGTTTTCAGGAACCATTAGTCATAGTCATGGGGACATCTGGACAAAACCAAGAGCAGGGGTTGGAATCAGGGTAGGCACGTGAGGAGTGGGGGGATAGGCAGGTGATAAATGCAGACAACTGTATTTGGGCAACACAAAAATAAAAGATAAATAAAAAAGAACACTTTTTTTTTAGTAAAGGAGATAATGAATACTCAGTAAGCAACTAGTTGTCACTATTGCATATCTTGATTCTAATATTAAATCCAGATGTAATGACTTTGACAGGTGACTCCTGTCTCCTGTCATATGGTAATGGTATAGAATAGTCAAGAAACATTGCGTGATAATGTGAATCTGTAAAAAAGAATCTTTATTGAAGTAATTTTAAAAAAAAGTATTAATGAGAACTCTGAAATTATATTTGTTGGCACTTAAAAAAATTATTTTAGACCCTGGCTGGTGTAGCTTAATGGATTGAGTGTGGGCCTGCAAACCACACGATCACAGTTCGATTGCCAGTCAGGGCACATGCCTGGGTTTCAGGCCAGTTCCCAGCAGGGGACGCACGAGAGGCAACCATACATTGATGTTTCTCTCCTTCTCCCCTTCCCTTCCTCTCAAAAATAAATAAATAAAATCTTTAAAAAATTATTTTAGTGCTGTTCAAGAAGAGTTGTCCCCACTTTAAAAAATTAGCATTTGCCCTGCTGGTGTAGCTCAGTGGGTATAGCAGGGGCTGCTAACCAAAGGGTGGGCAGTTTGACCCTCAGTCAGGGCACATGCCTGGATTGTGGGCTAGGTCCTCAGTGTGACCATGTGAGAGGAAACAGCACATTGATGTTTCTCTCCTTCTCTCCTTCTTTTATTCTCCCTTCCCTTCTCTCTAAAATTCAATAAATAAAATATTTATTTTATTTTATTTTTTAAAATGTTTATTTAAAAAAATAAAGCCAAAAATAAAATTAGCATTTGTTACAGCAGAGCACCCCGGTACTGGATAGTGAGCAGCAGTTACATTAATGACCATAAGAGAAATTGAAACAGCCACCTTTATTCCCTACAGAGCCTGGGAGATGTACACAGCAGGCATACAGCAGCTACATGTGAGGATGAGGCAGGATGCTGGGAGACTGTGGAAGATCCTAGGACATATAATTTTATTATGGTTCTTCTGTGGAGGTTGTTGGGGTTCTTGAGCTAAGTTTCAATTGCTCAAAATAAACAAAAAAAAAAAGATATTGGTAGAGTGTTCAGAGATCTTATCTAATGGCCATGTGTGGTGAAAGGCCTGAGGAGGAAGAAAGACTGTTGCTCACAGCAGCTGCCAGTAAGTCAGGTTAAGAAGGGACATATAACTGTGACTCTGTGAGATGCTGTCTACTGTGTGAAATTGCAGGAGAAGGTTGTGGCAGTTCAAGGTTCCTAGTTACAGAAAATAAATGCCACCACAGCAGTATCATAAAGTAGCTTAGCCGAAGTCTTCAAAACATACATATCATCTATTGTAACTACCAGAATGTTCCATTAGGTACAATAAAAATATATCAGTAAGAGGGAATATTCACATTATTTAATGTCTAAGGACACAAAGGAAAGAAACTGCTAAGGAACTGCACTGCATTATAAAATGACATGTTATCTATAAACTTGAGGAACATTAAAGACACACAAATGTTCCAGTATATCCACCTTTATTCATAAAAAGTATAAATTCACACATCATCTAAATAAAAAAATCACAATACAATTGTGTTACCATTTCTCAATGCCATCAATGCAAACATTTGGGAGTGTTACTATTCTTGTATATTATGATCCCATAGTGCAGTTTTCTTTGTTTTTCTAACCAGAGGCTAACTGTTGAGCAAACATAGATGAGTAACAATGTTATGCACTGAGGGATGAGCTGTCTATATTCCCTCACATATTGCTGATGGCTTTTTATTCCAACCACATCAACTAATATTCAACTATGACTACTCTGAAGACACATCAGGATTTTAACAAATTGGCAGTTTCTTTAAAGGGAGGTTTAGAAAAACAGTTACAATTTATACTATTTCTATGTCTTACTATAATGCAAAATAGCATGACTTCCATTGTAACATGCACCAAATTCAGAGAAACCTAAAAATAGCAACTTCAGTTAGATTTTTTCCATGCATTGTGCATTACAGTGTCAATCTCTATGCAAATGTAATTATGAGTAAACCTTACCTAATATACAACAGTTCACAAGTTGTTAAGGAACCAATAATTAACCCATTGATTTTATACACACCAGGAGTGAAAACATAGTAGCATCAACTGTTGGGAGACTGGATTCAATTTAATATTTGTTTCTCAAAATATTTCAAATGTTGTCAATACACAATAGTTTATATTCTGAGTGATTATACATATCTAGACATCCATCCCCTCAACATTTTGAAGCACACTGAAAAGTAATGATTGGTATTTTTAAACTTTGTGTGATTCACTGTAGTAATATTCTGATTTAGAGCAATACCTGAAACCTATCATTAACTTTCTACTCTGAATTATGATATTTTGAGCCTGGTTTTCAATGACATATTTTCCTGAAATTTTATACCTTTCCAGTCACGTTTAGGTATAAATTCTTTGGGGTTATGGGAACTGTGTAATTTCACAAAAGACTATCACTTTATGAATATAGAATTCCACACCACTGTGCATTTCCCGATTTATAATGAGACTGTAGGTCAACCTAAATGATTTTCTACAATTTCCCTTTCCATTTTTTATAGTGTGAATTCTCATATGCCACAAAAGAAGTCAATATTAAAAAAAGCTTTAAAATGTTGGGTACATTTTGAATATAGGTTAAAATATTGCCACAGTCTCTATATTTATACAGTTTTTCTGAAGATGAATGTCCATCATGTTGGTTAAGTCAGCTCTGATGATTAAAACACTTGTTATGTACACTACTTTTATATGGATGACCTGTAAGGTCTCTCTCCAGTATGAATGAACTGATGTCAAAAAGTTTTGCCACCTAGTGCACATTAATAAGCCTTGTGTCCAGTATGAATTCTCTGAAGTTTACTAAAGGTTGGAAGTGGCTAAAGGCTTTATCCCATCAGGTACATTTAAAAGGCTTCAGTATGGTATAAATATATTTTAGGAAGAATGGGCATTGAGGACTGTTTAAAGCCTTTACCAAGTAAGGTACATGTATAAGGCATTCCTTCTGTGTGAATTATTGGATGTTGAGTAAGGTTTGAGGACTGTAAAAATGCTTTATCACATGTTCAACACTTAGAAGGTTTCTCATTTATATGAACTTTCTGATGCTGAGAAAGGTCACAGGACAGGTTAAAGGTACTACCACATACATTACATATATAAGGCTTTTCACCAGTATGAATTTTCTGATGCTGTATAAGGTTTGAGGTCCACCTAAAGGCTTTGCCACATTGTATGCATTCATAAGCCTTCTCTTCAGTATGAATTTTCTGATGTTTGGTAAGGGTTGAATTCTGGCTAAAGGCTTTTCCACATTGTGTACATTTATAAGGCTTCTCTCCAGTATGAATTTTCTGATGCTCGGTAAGGTTTGAGTTTGAGTTAAAGGTTTTGCCACATTGTGTACATTTATAAGGCTTGTCTCCAGTATGAATTTTCTGATGTTGTATAAGGTTTGAGGTCCACCTAAAAGCTTTGCCACACTGAGTACATTCATAAGGCTTGTCTCCAGTATGAATTTTCTGATGTTTGGTAAGGTTTGAGTTCAAGTTAAAGGTTTTGCCACACTGTGTACATTCATAAGGCTGGTCTCCGGTATGAATTTTCTGATGTTGAGTAAGGTTTGAGTTCAAGTTAAAGGTTTTGCCACACTGTGTACATTCATAAGGCTTGTCTCCAGTGTGAATTCTCTGATGTCGGGTAAGGGCTGAGCTCCACCTAAAGGCTTTGCCACATTGTATACATTCATAAGGCTTCTCTCCAATATGAATTTTCTGATGTTGTATAAGGTTTGAGGTCCACCTAAAGGCTTTTCTACATTGAGTACATTCATAAGACTTGTCTCCAATATGAATTTTCTGATGTTGTATAAGGTGTGAGGTCCACCTAAAGGCTTTGCCACATTGTATACATTCATAAGGCTTCTCTCCAATATGAATTTTCTGATGTTGTATAAGGTTTGAGGTCCACCTAAAGGCTTTTCCACATTGAGTACATTCATAAGACTTGTCTCCAGTATGAATTTTCTGACGTTGAGTAAGGTTTGAGTTCAAGTTAAAGGTTTTGCCACATTGTGTACATTCATAAGGCTCCTCTCCAGTATGAATTTTCTGATGTTTGATAAGGTTTGAGTTTCGGCTAAAGGCTTTCCCACATTGTGTACATTCATAAGGCTTTTCACCAGTATGACTTTTCTGATGCTGTATAAGGTTTGAGGTCCACCTAAAGGCTTTCCCACATTGTGTACATTCATAAGGCTTCTCTCCAGTATGAATTTTCTGATGCTCGGTAAGGTTTGAGTTTGAGTTAAAGGTTTTGCCACATTGTGTACATTTATAAGGCTTGTCTCCAGTATGAATTTTTTGATGTTTGATAAGGTTTGAGTTTTGGCTAAAGGCTTTGCCACATTGAGTACACTCATAAGGCTTGTCTCCGGTATGAATTTTCTGATGTTTGGTAAGGTTTGAGTTCGAGTTAAAGGTTTTGCCACATTGTGTACATTTATAAGGCTTGTCTCCGGTATGAATTTTCTGATGTTGGGTAAGGTTTGAGTTCGAGTTAAAGGTTTTTCCACATTGTGTACATTTATAAGGCTTGTCTCCAGTATGAATTTTCTGATGTCGGGTAAGGGCTGAGCTCCACCTAAAGGCTTTTCCACATTGAGTACATTCATAAGGCTTGTCTCCAGTATGAATTTTCTGATGTTGAGTAAGGTTTGAGTTCAAGTTAAAGGTTTTGCCACACTGTGTACATTCATAAGGCTTGTCTCCAGTGTGAATTCTCTGATGTCGGGTAAGGGCTGAGCTCCACCTAAAGGCTTTTCCACATCGTGTACATTCATAAGGCTTGTCTCCAGTATGAATTTTCAGATGTTGAGTAAGGTATGAGGTCCGGCTAAAGGCTTCGCCACATTTTGTATATTCATAAGGCTTCTCTCCAATATGAATTTTCTGATGTCGTATAAGATTGGAAATACACCTAAAGGCTTTCCCACATTCTCTACACATGTTAGGGTTTTCACCAGTATGAATTCTGTGATGCTGAGCAAGATTATAGGACTTTGTAAAGGCACTGCCACATTCACTATGTTTGAAAAATTTCTCTCTTGTATGAATTTTCTGAGTATCATTGAAATTTGAGGACCAGCTAAAGGTTTTAGCACATTCTATACCTTTATCTGACTCATTTTTAGTGTGAATAGTGTGATGATTAGAAAGGGTTGAGGTAATCCAAGTTGCTTTGCCATAGTCTTTACAAACATCAGGCTTCTGTCCAGGATAATTTTTTTCATGCAGAGTTCCACCTGAAAACCAATGACCTGTTTTACCACAGTCTTTACAATTGTGTTCTTTGCTGGGACCTATTTTGTTAAGTTTATTTAGATTAGATATTTGATTGAAGAATTTTCCACATGGTAAATATTTGTGAACTTTGTCCCTGACCACAATATTGGTTTCTTTAGCATTATTTGAAGATTGATTTAAACATTTGATATTTTTACTTTGGGTTTTTGTCTTCTCCACAGTAGGAAAAACCCCATGAGTATTGGGATCTGACATTTGTTCAAAGACATTTCCACCTTCACAATGGCTGTCTAGAAGCTGAATCTTATGCATAAAATTCTTCCAATGTTCATTGCATTGACTACTTCTGTCTGCATCCCAAGGACCCTGGTAAACATTTAACACAGAAATGCATTTAATGATATCCATAACTTCATTAACATGTGCACTTATTAACAAATAACCATCCTGTGATCCCTGTAAAACCACTTTGGTTATATTAAAAGTCATGTTCAAAAAAAAATAAAAAAAATAAAAAAATAAAAGTCATGTTCAAGTTCATGAAATTATTATACAATGAAATAAAAGAATACGTTATTTCTAAAAAAAGTATATATTTCTTGAGGAAAGGGATTATCAAACTGATCACATTTAAGCTTTCTACATGCATTCTAAATGACTACATTGCACAAATTATAGACTAAACATTTATTCCCACTCTACATTTTAAACAATCCAAATGATTACACATACTAACTATGAGATTTCCTAGACTTTCCAGACTGCCTTTAGAACAGGGGTGTTAAACTCATTTTCACCAGGGGCCATAGGAGCCTTACCGTTGCCCTCAGTGGGCTGCATGTGATTTTAAGATTATGTAATAGTAAGTATTTCTTAAACAGGGGCAATGAGGTTGGCACTGCCACCAGGTAGGAACAAGGTTCTGCATTGGATAAGAGAAAGTGGAGGGCCTGATTTGGCCTGGAGGACTTTAGTTTGCCACCTGTGCTTTAGAAGAATACGTACATATAGAATATTGTTTTCAGTCTTCCTATTTGGAAATACATTGATCTGTAAAGGTAACTGGTTCAAAGTGGAAGTTTTCCCAAATTTGCAATATTATTCACACATTTAGATAACAAGAAATTTTCATGAATAATATTCCAAAGTTAATTCTCTCCATTTAAACATTTTTTCTTTCTTGTCATGCAATCCCTTCTCAGTATCAAAGGCACACCTCTCATATCTTACCAGGGTTGCTTCAAAAAATGAATCTTCTATTCCTGACCTTTGCAAGATGTCCTTGTTGTCTGCTGATGACACAGCTGATAGACACAAAATAAAGTTTCACAGATATGAAACACAGGTGAATGTACATTGAACTTAAAGCAATTTTTAAACAAATCACATTGTTCTATACTTCAAAAAACTTTAATTAGTTGCAGAAAGTCCAAGTATCTTACAATGAGAAAAAGTCACACGAAAGAGGATCAACACTTGCTCAGAGTTGGCAGCCATTGTTCTCACATCCCTTGGCATATAATGGCAATAGGATAAGAAAACTTGATATGCCCAGTTGTTTTCTAGACATACAGAGGGTCCAGTGTATTCAATGATCTCACTGTTTTCCTGCATTTTCAAAATATGTGTTTCTGTTTTGCGGGACACACAGTGCTCAGCCCATAACAGCGCATGGTGAACACATTAAAGTTCACACTAAAAAGAAAGGGTAATAGTTGAAATACCACAGAAAACAGTGGACTGAAGACCAATATCAAGCACAAAAAGATATTATAGGGTTTGAAAAAAGAAATAGACACTATATAAAAGTTGAAACTCACACACACTCAGAAACAAACAGCACCCCTGTGTTTACAGAAATTAGAGTTTAAACTAGGGGTGAGTGTTATTTCTTTTTCTCTTAAGCTGGAGAAAGCAAGTTCATGAAGTCTACTTTTTTACACTTCTGAACTTCAACTAATATATAAAGACCGGAAAAAGAAAACCAACCTCAAATCAGAAAACTAAAGTGTATCTATAAAAATTGATACTACCTATATTGAAATATATTAATTACTTGATAAATAATTGAAAATAACCACCTGAAAATAGAAACTTAGAAAAATATGACACCTACTTAGCAGCAAATCTGTGAATGACCAAAATAAAAATGAAGAGAGAGAGAGAATGTAAAAATAAGCCAAGCAGAGAATGGGAAATTGAAAAACACAATACTCAAATTAAAAAATACATTTAAATACAGAAACATGGACTGGTTGCCTGTTTATGTCCCCATCCAGGTCCCAGGCCCACAGTCCAGGCATGTTCCTTTGCCCAGAAGTAAATTTGTGACCTTGGCTTTGAGGAACGATGCTCAACAAATTGAGCCACTCAGGCCAGGGCTAAAGCTAATAGCTCTTAATTCACTGAGAAAAGAGATTATATGACATTTTAGTTTTATTTTTTGTAACACCCAAAGGAAATGTAAAGAAGCAAAGATAATTAAATGGCATTAAACCAAATATAGAAAATGCTGCACATTAAAGCAAACAACCAGTAGGTTAAGATCACATCCTATGGCAAAAATAAAATTCTTGTAAAGTGTATCTGATAAGCAGTTAATATCCAGGTTATATGAAGGACTTTTACAAAACATCATGATAAAAGAAATAATCCAGCTTTTTAAAATATATTTTATTGATTATGCCATTATAGTTGTTATATTCCCTCCCCCTTTATTTCCCTCCACCCTGCATACCCCCTCCCCCACCGTTCCCCCCTTTAGTTTATGACCACGTGTCTCAAATTCTTTAGATTCTATATCTCCCCTACTATTCTTGCCCTCCCCCCTATTTATTTTCTACCTACCATCTATGCTACTTATTTTCTGTACCTTCTCCCCCTTCTCCTTCTCCCACTCCCCTGTTGCTAACCCTCCATGTGATCTTCATTTCTATGGTTCTGCTCCTGATCTAGCTGTCCTCTTAGTTTGCTTTTGTTTTAGGTGTGGTTATTAATAACTGTGAGTTTGCTGTCCTTTCACTGTTCATGTTTCTTTAACTTCTTTTTCTTAGGTAAGTCTCCTTAACATTTTATATAATAAGGGCTTGGTGAAGATGAACTCCTGAATTTGATGTTATCTGAGAAGCACTTTATCTGCCCTTCCATTCTAAATGAAAGCTTTGCTGGATAGAGCAGTCTTAGATGTAGGTCTTTGGATTTCATGACTTGGAATACTTCTTTCCAGCCCCTTCTTGCCTGTAAGGTCTCTTTTGAGAAATCTGCTGACAGTCTGATGGGAACTGCTTTGTAGGTGACTGTCCCCTTATCGTTTTCTGCTTCTAGAATTCTCTCCTTCATTTTAATCTTGGCTAATGTAATTATGATGTGCCTTGGTGTGTTCCTTCTTGGGTCCAACTTCTTTGGGACTCTCTGAGCTTCCTGGATTTCCTGGAAGTCTATTTCCTTTGCCAGATTGGGGGAACTCTCCTTTGTTATTTGTTCAAATAAGTTTTCCATTCATGGCTGTTCCTCTTCCCCTTCTGGCACCCCTATAATTCTGATGTTGGAACGTTTAAAGATTTCCTGGAGGTTTGTAATCCTCTCCTCATTTTTTTGAATTCTTGTTTCTTCATTCTTTTCTGTTTGGTTATTTTTTCCTCTTTCTCGTCCACTCCTTTGATTTGAGTCCCAGTTTCATTTCCATTAATATTGGTTTCCTGTGCATTTCCATTAATTGCAATTAGTTTAGCTTTCATATGTTCCTCTAATTTGTGACTAAAATCAACCAGTTGTGTGAGCATCCTGAGCACCAGTGTTTTGAACTGTGCATCTGAAAGTTTGGCTATTTCTTCATTGCTTAGATGTATTGGCTCTGGGGCTCTGAGTTGTTTTTGAGCCATGTTTTGATCTGTTCATGCCTGTTAGGTATGAGGAGCAGAGCCTTAGTTGTTCACTAAGGCCACCCAGGTTGCTGGTTTGTGACACTGTACGTGGTGGTGGGGTCAGAGAGGGACAATGGCAGTCCCCTCTGCTGCTTCCTGCCACTGGGGCCTGCACGGTCTGTCTTACCACTCCCTCCTTCACCGGTTTATCTGCATGCAAATATGTGACCGTGGTCAGCCCTCAGTGAGTCCACCCAATTCTCTACACCTGGGATCTCCATACAGCTGCCTGTGTGCCTGGGTCGCGTGCCAGGGTCAATCTGGTGGATCTTTCCTGCCCGACCCCACTCCTCCTACAGGTTTGGCTGAAGGGTTCGTTGTTATCAGACTTCCATGAAGTTCAATTTTCTGTGGTTTTGGCTGCATTTTTGTTGCTAAAAGTTTGTTGTTTTTAAACTTGGTTGTGGGAGGAGGCACAGTGCTTCCTCCTATGCCTCCATCTTGGTGAAAGTCTAATCCAACTTTTAAAATGGACAAATATATGCCATTAACTAATTTATAAGACAAAAAAATCAGAAATACACAATGAGATAAGACAAATTCTTTCAAAAATTGTGAGAGAAATTGAACCAATACGCACAATACATTATAAGTAGATAACTTTTTTATGACATGTACCAAAATTAACCCAAAATTGATTAAAATCTAAAATGTAAGACCTGAAACCATGCAAAAACTAGAAAAAAGCTCTGTTGTAAAACTCTGTTATGACTCTTAAACATATTATTTTAGTTATAACATGGTAGGTAGAGCAGACAGAAGAAAAAACAAATAAGACTACAATGAAATAAGTTTTTCATAGCAAAGGAAATAATCAAGAAAACAATGAAACCAATCTACTGAACCGGAGAAGATATCCAGAAAGAATGCTAAGTATTCAAAGTGTAAAAAAATTACACAACTCCAAAAAAAACAATCTGAAGGAAAAATGGGGAAAACTGGCTTGTGTGCTCAATGGATTGAGTGCTGGCTTGTGAACCAAAGGATTACCAGTTCAATTCCCACTCAGGGCACATGCCTATGCTGTAGGCCACGTTCTTAGTTGGAGGTGTGCAAGAGACACTCATAGAGGTTTCTTTCTTTTTATTTCTCCCTCCCTTCCTCTCTCTAAACATAAATCAATAAAATAAAAAAAATAAAAAAATGGCATAGAAGAGAAAAAATGGGCAGTGGAACTAAAGAGATATTTTTGTAAAGAGGACATAAAGATGGCCAATAGACATATGAAATGATGTTCAGTATCATTCATCATCAGAGAAATGCAAATTGAGACTACAATGAAACACCACAACACATCTTTCAGGATGACAATTACCAATAAATCAACAAACCATGACTACAACAATGACTACCAGCAATGATGTGGAGAAAGGAGAACCCTCATGCACTGCTGTTGAGATCATAAATAAATCGGTGCAGACACTGCAGAAAACAAGATGGATGACCCTCCAATATTTAGTAACAAGTACAACAGGACACAGCAATTCCATTTCTGGCAGTTATCCAAAAACTATCAGTACACACATTCAAAATGGTATGTACACTCCTATATCCACTTTAGCATTATTGACAATAATGAAGATGCAGAACAGAATAAAAAACAATTTGATTTTAGTGACAGTAGAGGTGTTTCAGGAAAAAGTCCGACAATTGTCACTATAATGTAATAAGAACAGTGTGCACCTCATAGATGTATCCTGGCAGCCAAGGGGAGTGGACTGGAATGTGCATATGTGAATAATGATGACCTCACTGTAGTACTCAGAGAGGCCAGTAGACCCTGGTACATCAGCATGTGTTCTGTGGGGTTTTCACATTCAAAATGAATGGGAGAGTAGAGCAATGAATCTGCATGAAACATTCTGATAAGTTTCAATATTTCTCCATGGGATTTATTCACATGATGAAGGAGGCTACCACTTTGGGCAAACTGGTAAACGCAGCTTCAGCACAAGAGTGCACTGTTCATGCATCATGTCTCATGCAGAGTGTTTTGGTGAAAGATCAAATCACCCAGGTCACTCAGTTCCCCTATAGCCTAGATTTGGTACCAGGTACCTTCTACTTTTTCCAAAACCAAAATCACATTAGAAAGGGAAGAGGTTTCACCTTGTTGATGACATTCAGGAAAATATGATGGGGCAGCTGATGGCAACTGGGAAAACTGTGTGAGGACCCAAGGTGCCTACTTGGAAAGGGACTGAGGTGTCATTGTCCTATGTACAGTGTTTCTTGTATGCCCTGCAGGAAATGTCTTTAGCTTTCACATTACATGTCTGGATACCTACTGAACAGACTTTGTTTAATGTCAAAAAATTACATCTCAAGATGTCATCTTCAAGGCATGCCTCATGATATGTTTATTA